ATTATAATATATTATATTATATTATATTATATTATATTATATTATATTATATTATATTAGGCAATCTGCTTTACTTAAAGCCCACTGATTTATCACATGTCTACCCATAACAACAACGAGACTAGTGTTTGGCCAAACACCTGGCAACAATCACTTCACCCAACTTGACATATAAAGTTAAGTATCACTGCAGGAAAAGGGCACAAAGACTCTGGTGATGTCATGGGTAAGGCACTTAACTGCTAATCACAAGGTCGGTTGTTTCAAACCTACCAATCGCTTCATGGGAGAAAGATGTGGCTTTCAAGTTCCTTAAAGATTTACAGCCTTGAAAACCTTATGGGGCAATTCTATTCTGTCCTATAGGATTGCTATAAATCACACTGTCTTAACAGCAGTGGGTTGTTTTGTTTCATTTTTAACAGGGGAAGAGGTGATCCAAGGTACACAGGTACTCAGTGGCAGACTGGGACTAGAACCCCCTTAAAATTGTGCCTGGTCTCTGGGTGTGCCCGTGAGTTGTACCCTTACGTCTCAAGTGGGGAACTGTGAAAATGTCTGGGCATGTTCAGCATATAGAAGCATAATTTTGGGGACACAGCTACTGTGCTCAGATCTCTGAGAACTGCCTGGGTTGAGGAAGAGATGATTCTGTGTGGTCCCAGAGGACAGAACAAAAACTTAATGGTAGAGGCCAAAGAGTCTGCTTGTAACAGTAAGCCCTATGCATGGTGAGAGTCAGCAACCTTGAGAGTTTAAGGAGCTTTCATTCATTGTCTGCAAACAGAGAAAATAGCAGTAGAACTAGAAGACTACTAAGGTCCTTTTCCACCTGATGATTCTCTTAAAACTCCTTCTAAACCCTGAAAATAGCAGAATCCTCTACTCTTGGAAGTCTTGTACCTGTATCACTTCCCATCACTCAGCTGAGGGGCTGGGAATCTCATCACCAAGTTCCACAGAGCTCCAGGGATGAGTGAGTGGGTGAGTGACTTTATCCTGGACCCATCCCCAGGTGGCGAAGGAAAGGGAGCTGGAGCTTCAAGAGAAACTGGCTGAGCAACGACTAGTCCTTGGGGAAGAGCATGAGGAAGCCCTGCGAGGTAAGGACAAAGTTACTTCAATAAGGGAGGTGACTGGGGGTGAGGTCTCCTTCTGGGCTCACCTGCAGAGTCCACATAGGGCCTCCTACTGGCCCTGCTCTCCGACTATGAGGCACAAGCAGTTGGCTGCATCAGAGCTGGCGTCTACAGAGTCTTCAACCTTTCTCCAGAAAGGTGATGGGGCATGACTCTACAGGTTTCGCACAATGCTTTGTTTTGCCAGATTTGAAAGATCTTTTTCTCTGTATTTTGAAAGCAGTTTATATTCATCAAAAGACATTTGGAAAACCTAGACAGATAAAGTCCTGATGTGGTGCTGTAGAATAAGCACTGGACTGTTAACTGCAAGATTAGCAGTTCAAATCCACCAACAGCTCCTCAGAAACCGTATACAGGGTCACTATGAGTCAGAGCTGACGTGATAGGATTTAACAACAGACAAATAGTTCCTTCTATGTAATGATGACAGTTCTTAAATTTTATGGTTAGGAGAATTGTTTTTAAAATCACTGTTTCTAATATCACCAAATATAGTCATCACATGAATGTTAAATTCTATAAATTTTTTTAAAAATTATTGCATAACGGTTACGATCTCAGACTCTAGAACCAAGGTTGCTGGGTTTGAATCTGAGCTTTACCACTTGTCAGCTGTGTGTGTAAACCTTCAAAGAGTTGTTTAACCTTCCTCAAAGAGTCCTTAGGGTACTAAATGATTTAATTAATGTGGGTGGATGGGTGGATGTGTAGACAGTAGCTGGCATGTAGAAAATAATTATTAGCACTTATTAGTTTATGATTGAGAAAATTAAAATCATGTGTAATTCTGCACAGATAGCCACTGTTATCTTTTTGATAAAGTTTTTGTTGTTGCGACTGTTGGTTGTCATCGAGTTGGCTCTGACTCATGTCAACCTTATGTATAACAAACCAAAGCACTGCCTAGGTCTGCGCTAGCTTCATGTTTGCGTCTATTGTTGTGTCCATATATACTGTTTTCTTATTGTTGTTGTTGCTACATGCTAAGTCAGTTCTAAATCACAGAGACCCTGTATAAGGTTTCCAAGACTTTTTAAATCTTTATGGGAGTAGAAAACTTTATCGTTCTCCCATGGAGCAGCTGGTGGGCTCAAACCACCGACCTTGTGGTTTACAGTCCAGTGTTTATCCTTCAGAGCCACTACGCTATTGTCTTCTTGGAGGTGGTGGTGGTTGTGTTTGTGCTTGTGCATCATCTAGTCAGTTCCGACTCATAGTGACCCTATATAGGGGTCACAAGGCTGTAAATCTTTGTAGGTGCAGGAAGCATCATTATCCTCCTACAGAGCAACTGGTGAATTTGAACTGCTGACCTTGTGGTTAACAGCCCAATTCATAATCCACTGCACTACCAGGGTTCTTCTTGTTTTCTTAAAACTTTTTAGTTTCTTCTTTATCTACACAGGAGCACTTTTAAAAAGTTCATGGAAGAATACCATTGAAAAATTAGAATTTTCTCCATGAACGTTTTAGATTCCCCTTGTACTTTGGAAGGAAGGTAGATTGGGTTGGGTTTTTTGATTGTTTGTTTTCACTTTGAATTGCACGAACATCTTGTCAATAAACTCTTCTATTAATTAGAGATTTAATAATTACATGGCATAGAGACCCTGTATAGGGTTTCCGAGGCTGTAAATCTTTACAGGAACAGAAAGCCTCATCTTTCTTCTGCTGAACAAACTGGTAGATTTGAACTGCTGACCTTGAGGTTAGTAACCCAGCTTATAAGCCACTATGCTACCAGGGTTCCTTAGTATTTATGTATGTTCCCTGATTTATTTAACTGAGCCTCTTTGGCTAGACTTTGAGGTAATTTTAAACCTTTTGACACATTGTTTATGATAGCAATAATATTACTACAGTAAACTCCATTTTGTTAAATCTTCGCCATGATTATGATTTTTCTTTGGAATAACAACCTAGTTGAATTGGTGTGGTAGAGGTTGTATATATTTTCAAGGCTATTGGAGTTGACCTCCAGAACACAATAACAGTTTTTCATTTATTCACCAGTGTATGCAGGACATTTTCCCAGAGTTATCTTTTAAGAAAACAGTTACAGTTATTTTATGTATAAAGTGTTATATCCTGTTCTTTTTTCCATTAACATTGTATGTAACCTGTCCCCAAGTAATTGTTATTACTAAAATGGTTAATATACTCCATAGCTTACCAATTTTTTCTTATTTGCCATAAAAATAGGCATCTGGATTTTAGCTAGTAGAAATAGCATTGCAGTAAACACCTTTTGCATAAAGATGTATCCACATTTCACATTCAGTCCTTAAGAGTCCCAGAAATTGAGTCATTAGAACAAAGATCTGAACAATTTTAAGAATCTTGACACATATTGAAACATTAGCACAGTTTGTTTTGAAATGGAATTAAAGTCCTTGCCTGGGAATTTGGCAGCCTCGGTTTTTATTCTAATACGTTGTTAAACTGGGCTACTCACTTAACATTCTTGAGCCTTACATCAGTTTTTGTATCTTTAAAATCCACATCCCCTTTCTTAAAGGAGAAGCAGCTTCATTCTCCAGCCCTGCTTTGACATGATTTTTAGCATTATAAATAAAGTATATCAATCAGAAAGCGATTTCTACTATTAAAACCCTAAAGGGTAAGGGATTGCCCTGTCTAGAGTTCTTCCTTATCAATCAGAATTCTTTCTGTTTTAAAATTGTTTGGCACATATCAGATGCTGCATACGTGTTTATCAAATGAGTTAATCAAAGTATAGCATGGACAAGAATATATGGGGGTGGTTTTGTTTGAAGGGAGTTAACAACAACAAAAACAAGGACACTTTGTGGTGCTGTGGGTTGTTTGGGGGCTGCTGACTGCAAGGTGGCGGTTCAAACCCACCAGCCACTCCATGAGAGAAAGACACTGTCTGCTCCCGTAACGACTGACAGACTGAGAAACCTTATGGAGCAGTTCTACTCTGCCATATAGGGACTCTTGGAATTGGAACCAGCTCAATGGCAATGAATTTGTTTTGATTTGGTTGGTTTGGGTTTATTTGCTTTTGCTTTTGAAGGAAGATACAGATAACTGGGAGAGACTAACAGTGGATTCCCATATAGGATGACATTTTGCTTATCATTTCTTTGGTTTTGTTTTTGAATGATGACATGGTATTTTTTTAAATGTTGTTGTTGTTATGTGCCATCGAGTTAGTACTGACTCATAGCAGCCCTATGCAGTAGAACGAAATACTGCCCTGTCCTGTGCCAACCTCACAATCGTTGCTGAATCTGAACTCAATCCGTCTCGAAAGGGGTCTTCCTCTTTTTCTCCAACTCTACATTTTACTAAACATGATATCCTCCGGGGACTGGTCCCTTCTGACAATATGTCCGAAGTATGAGAGATGAAGTCATGTCATCCTGGCCTCCAACGTGTATTCTGGCTATATTTCTTCCAACACAGATTTGTTTGTTCTTTTGGCAGTCCATGGTACTTTTAATATTTTCCTCCAACACCATAACTCAAATGCATCAATTCTTTTACTGTCTTTATTATTCACTTTCCAACTTTCACATGCATATGAGGTTATTGAAAATACCATGACTTGGGTAAAGCACACCTTAGTCCTCAAACTGACATCTTCACTCTTGAACACTTTAAAGAGGTCTTGTGCCGCAGATATGCCTAATGAAGTACGACATTTGACTTCCTGACTGCTGCTTCCATGAGTGTTGATGGTTGATCAAAGCAAAATGCAGTCTTTGACAAGTTCAGTCTTTTCTCCATTTAGATGGATGTTATTTATTGGTCCAGTAGTAAGGATTTCTGTTTTCTTTACATAGAGGTGCAAACCATAAAGAAGGCTGTGATCTTTGATCTTCATCAGTATTTATTTTAATTCCTTTTTGCTTTCAGCAAACAAGGTTGAATCACCTGTACCTCGCAGGTTGTTAATGAGTGTTCCTCCAATCCTGACACCATGTTTTTCTTCATATAATCCAGCTTCTTGGATTATGTGCTCAGTATACAGATTGGATAAGTATAGTGAAAGAACACAACCTTGGCATTTTAAACCATTCAGTGTTCCCATGTTCTGTTCGAACAACTGTCTCTTGGTCTATGTACAGGTTCTCCATGAGCACAATGAAGCATTCCAGAATACTCATTTTCCACAATGCTATCCATAGCTTGTCATGATCCACACAATTGAAAGCCTTTGAATAGTTAATAAATCACAGGTAAACATCTTTCTAATATTCTCTACTTTCATCCAAAATCCATCTGACATCAGCAATGATACCCCTCGTTCCATGCCCTCTTTTGAATCTGGCTTGAACCCTCTATCAGTTTTCTGTTAATGTACAGTTGCAGCCATTTTTTTTATTATCTTTTGCAAAATTGCACTTCCTTGTGATATTAGTGGTATTGCCTGATGATTTCCATATTTCATTGGGTCACCTCTCTTTGGAGTGGGCACGAATATGGATCTCTTCCAGTCAGTTGGCTAAGTAGCTGTCTTCCAATTTTTTTTTCATAGATGAGTGCCTCCAGTG